TAAGTATTTATAGCCAAATGAATCTAGGCCCACACCAAACTCTGCTTATTTTGAGTTCTTAGTGCTTATATAAAGAACAAGCCTCTATTTCCCCAACTCCAATAACTGGATTCTAAAGCATGCTAGCCATCCTATTCTTGGCCAAACTTATTACCTCAGATCTCCCTGACATAAAGGATATTTATTTCTGTCATCAAATTCTCTCCTTTCCTTTCAGCTACAGAAATTATTCTCCTAGTACTTGCTATGTCACCTAATAAAAATGTTTGTTGTTTGAGTATTTTCATTTTTCTTCTATTCTTTCACCTCATTTTGGGTTAATTTATCTAGTATGTATTACTAGCCAACATAAAAATTTCATGAAAATAATATTCAGTATATAATGACAGAATAAGAATTTTTGATGGAAACTTACAAAATATAGAGAAATTATATTTATTATTCAATGCTGAATGATTTATTATCGACATCTTTTAGATTTACCAGGTAAATATGGATATTTGTATAGGTACTTGAATAGGGGGAGGTTTAGAGTTTTATAAACGAAGTAGTACCTTCTTTCAGAAGAAAAAGTCATTCTGAAAATCTATTTAAACTTTTGCTGAGAGTTTTTATAACAAAATTTTGACCTATAAATAGGTCAAAGCTTTATTGAGCATAAGTCTATAAGACTAGATTTCATAAGAAAAGGATCACATAAAGAGATCCTCAACTTGGTGTTTAGCATATGCTAGGCATGTTGTAAATGTTGTGAAAGAATACTTGCATGAACACTTGTAAAATATTTTGAATCAGTACAATGAGCAAGTCTGTAATGCAGTTCTTTCCACTGGCCACACAGTCTACCTGTTGTCTGAGCATTTTCAACTATTGTATTGAATTTGTACCTATCTGCATATTGATGGCTCCTTGTCATTAGACCACCAATGTCCAGATACTTCTGCCCCTATGTCTACTGAATATGCCATTAGCAGGACCCATCAGCATACTGCACCTAATACTCCAAACTGAAGCTTTGTACTTCTCCCTGAAATATACTCCTGTATTTTGTTCAGGGCATGAAGTGAGGCATCTTTCTGTTATACCAACGACCAAGTGAGTGCTACTTATTTTCACTCCCAAATAGTTTTGAAATGGTATTTAATTCATATCATCACTATGCTTAGATTAAAGGTTGTAATATAACCTCTCATATGCATGATTGCATGTAATACTTTGTTTCCCTAAGTGCATTGTATTTTATCCAAATGACAACCTTGACCATGTTTTATCCTAACTTATAGTTTGTCCTATGGCATTTCATAAGCTATAGGCATTTGTGGATCCCTATTTACCTGCTCTTAACTTACACTTAAGTTATTACAATAAAAGTACTATCACTTCCTCATAAACAACACTTGCTGACTCTTAAGTGTTTACTCTTCATTTTCTCCCCAGCCACCCATATTTTCACGATGTCTTTCTCCTCACCTTTTAAGATGTATCTTAGCAGCATTCTATGTCATTAAAGTTTACCATGTCATTCTAACATGGGTTAGGTAGCCCAATAAGCTTTTCATATTGTTTGGAATTATCCATTTGCATTTCACTATCCCTTTCTGCATGGTGGGCCTACCAATAGCAGTATTAGCCATGCGCTCCTTTCCACAGTTAACAGCTCAGAGGGTGTTTAGTAAATTGTCTTGAAAGCTGTAGCTTAGAAGCCTGATGAGCCCAAAACAAGAAACAAATTTTAGAGTCCTAGTTCCTGACTTCCTGTTAACTCTGATACTCATTTGCAAAATAGAAATTAAGAAAAAAAGAAGGGACAATAAGTTTTTGTACTTTGAGTTCTAAAGCTGCTAATGTTACACTGAAAGAAGTTTAATGGAAATAATACAACTTTTAGGAACAAAGAAATTTGGTTTCTAGGTTTTCTCCTCATAAGCTATGTGAACGGGGACTTATTGGCCCTGATCTTTAATGCCTATCCTTTCTGAGTGAGAAAAATGGCATCTGATTTGGAAGGAAGTATTAAGAAGTGATGGTAATATACAGAAAGAAACCTGGCACACTCAAACATTTTACTTTTACTAATAGTCATTTCTATTGTAACTTTTGCTACTAGTTATGAGCTACTAGTTGTAAAGGAAACAGACTAGTGTCATCAAAGTCTGCATATGTGTTTATGTGAATGTTTCAGTAAAAGCTATAGTATAAGCCAGAAGTGGTGCTGTGGTTCAGGTGGTAGAGCATTAGCCTTGAGCTGAAGAGCTGAGGGATAGACCCCAGGCCCAGAGTTCAGGCCCCCACAACTGACAAAAAAGCTATAATTTATTACAAAAAATTAAATGAAAATTTTAAATTGATATTTTGTAAACTCTAATGTCTACAAAGCTCAAATTATGTTTAATCAACATTTCTGTTTCTGAAATAAGCTCAACTAGAAAGAATTATACATCTGCAGCAGGGTTATTGAAGCATTATTTGTTTCTTTGAGCACACATTGTTGCTGAACAGGATGATGAATCACTGAATGAATGAATGAAATTATCATCCAAGTATCTAGTAGATAAAATAATGCTGTAATTTCAGTTATTTTCAGTTCTTTTAGAAGGGAGTCCTTCTAAAAGAAAAAATGAGCTTTACAGTCTATAATAATGTCATATTCACTTTATTTTTGGTCATATTCACTTTAAACTGATTACAAGAACTATTTGAAAATTCCAAAGCCTGTAAGGTATCTTTTGCTTTATTAAAATAAATTTCCTTATTAATGTTTTGTTGGTGTTTGGTTTTTGGTTTGGTTGTATTTGGTTAATGTTTTTAGCAAAAGAGATTGGTCTTTGATAGAATAGAATATTTAGAATCTATTTCATATGTTATTAATTCAGATCACTAGGCAATGTGTGGGAATGAGAAAGAGAGACAGAGGGGAAAAAAGAGGCTGGCAAGAGCTAGAGAATGAGAGAACAAGAGTGTAAGAGAGTTTGTAAAATATGGTATTTTAATTTGATTTTGAAAAGTTTATACGATGAATTGGCTTAATGAAGATACTCAAAAATATGGTAAGGATCCCATAAAACCTGAATGACCACTAATAATTTGTTATTCTATTATTAATTTAATCTAAAGGCCAGTATTGGGTTGCACAATCTTACCTACAAATAAGCACATACTTTTTGTACTGACATGCAGAGTGCCATTCAATGGTTAATACCTTGCAAGAAATTCTCCTATCAGGTATTTTCTTTGGTAAAGCAAAGCCTTCTCAGGCTGGTCTGATGCTTTACTTCTTTTAACATAGTATTCTATTTCTTTTCCTATTCTTAATCTTCTACATCTACAGTATGTTTCTTTTGTCTTTGCTTTTCCCACTACTCTGTAAGCTTGCCAAGGCAAACCCTATAGACAATTTATTTCCACAGCTAAAGAACAAAGCTCATTGCCTAGAACTTATTAGATGCTCAATCAACATTCACTAGATGTCTTGATTCAGTACTTCCAATAAGTTTTATGTAATGGAATATTTTCATTTAATTACTAAATACTATCATGTGGTAAGAGGAAACAAATCAAGAAGGTCTTTGCCACAGGAGTACTAGTTATCTTGATTTTCTTACCTTTTGTTTTAATCTATGTTACCACTGACACAATGATATGAATATATTGGAGTCAGCAAGTTTTATAATAGTCACTCACTTCATCTTTGATCTTTGCCTATTGAACACTGGGGAGATGAGTGAAGTAGAATTATGTCCAGTTTTATGAAGGAAAAAGTAATAAATTTTCAGATCTTGGATCCCTGTAAGATCTATAGGCAGTTAGTTCTGGATGTGTGGCTCAGGTTGGGAAGGAAGGAAGGAAGGAAGGAAGGAAGGAAGGAAGGAAGGAAGGAAGGAAGGAAGGAAGGAAGGAAGGAAGAAAGAAAGGGAGGGAGGGAGGGAGGGAGAGAGAGAGGGAGGGAGGGAGGGAGAGAGAGAGGGAAGAGAAGGGAAGGGAAGGGAAGGGGGAGGAGAGGGGATGGGAGGGAGGGAGGGTGGGAGGAAGTGAGGCAGTTATTCTGTACTGGCTAGCCTTGCAACTTTGGTGAAGCTATTTAAGCTTATCTTGGTCTTCTCATTCGGCAAATGGGAATAACAATGCTTTTTTCACCTACTCTATTGATCTGAAAGGAATGAGTAAGAGAGATCAATTATGCAAAAGCATGGTATCTCGATAAAAAAATTAAAAAGAAAACACCTCATTGAAGTCTTTAAGGTACATCTTGATGTACCTTGTAGTAAAATGATGTGGAAACTCTCATCACTCCTTTTTGATTAAATGTCTAATACATTTCAGGAAAAATGAATGGCCATTTCTAACACAAAAAACATTTGTTGCACACTTGAAAATACAGGTGACCCAATCCTATCAGAATAACAGCTATCCAGTCTTTCATATTCAAGAAATGTGTTTTGTTGTCTTTTGGTGCTGAAGGCAATTATTATAATGGCTCAAGTATGGTTTTCTAAACTCTGATTTCCTCTGTTCAAAACCCAGATCAATCAATAACTGTCTTTACTTAATCTTTGTAATTTTAGATTTCTTCAGCAGAAACATGGGAATAAAAATAACAGAGATTCTATGACATGACTGTTGACAGAATTATATTTAGATAAAGCTCTAGTGCACTGTTTGCAGTAAATAAATTCTCATTTATTGATTGATATCATCTTTTGTTAGATTCTAGAAATAGCATTCCTTTTATTATTGACATTAGATGTGACTAACAGATTCATCTCAATGTATAAAATTAAGAGTACATATAGTTTAACAAAGAAATAACAAAATCATCCTAAATGTTCTTCCCATACCATCATAATCATCTAGTAAATGCCACAAGTCAACTGTTATATTGCTAAAAGGAATCCTGTTGGCACTGGGTGACCCCATCTCTAGTCAAGGCTCTTCCCCAGCCTGACAGTTAAACACACAATCACGTGTTTTTGTTTGCTCCTGTCCTTGTTCGTGCTCACCAGGTACAAAGACAGGAGGCTGGCCCAGCACAAGTCGGAAATAGAGTGTTTCACCCCCAAAGGGAGTATGGGGAATGGTGGGAGAGCAACAATGAGCAGGTAAGCGAACTGTGAGTGGCCTGAGGTGGTGTGGAATCAATGTCTGCAAGCTAGAGGAACAGGTGGCTCCCAGGTCTGGGTCCTTACTCAACTCTACATCCCACACAGTGTGTCCACCCTGGGTCACCACTGGTTTTCTGTGTTTGATTTGCAAAAATAAAAAAATAAAAAATAAAATCTATGCCATCTCCATGTGAAGTAATGGGAGCCTCCTGTCCAGATGCTGCTGTTTCTCAGGGTTGTGCGCTTTGCATGTCTGAAGCCGTAGCTAACAGTCAGTTCTCCCTTGGATTTTAACTTATTGATCAAATGGTTCTGGAGTTTGCAAAGTGGAAGAGATTGGAGGAATTTCACATGCCAGGACTACACAATCATTTAAGAAAACACGCCAAAGCTTAGGACTAGTTTAAAGGGTAGTATTGCAATTTGGGGAACAATATAGCTTCTGATCCTAGACAAGCTTGGAAATTAACCTGACATACTTTGAATGTAACCACATTTTGTAGGCAAGGGCAAAATTCATGCCTAACCAGTGGATTACAGAGGCAATGGTTTTTTCTTGCATGGAATTCAGGAACGCTAATCCTCCTCTAGCTACTGTAGCTTTGCAGCTCCTTTACTTCCTTGTGTTGGTAATGAACATCCCTGTCTCTGCGCTCTGCATGTTCTGTTGTAATAGGGACCTCCAACTGAGTTGTAAACTGGGGTATTTGGAACTTTGAGCCTCAAATGAGCTGTGTTGCATGAAATGAACGTGCTTTTTTTTTTTTTTTTTTTTTTTTTTTTTGCATGGGATTGGATTTCAAGAAAAGGGCTCTGGAGACAAAGATAATATGAATTGTCACCAGGAATTCCAGAAGGCTGGAGAAGCCTTATGTTAAGAAATCACACAGTAGAAGCTAAACTCTCCAAATCTAATTGTGTCAGCTACAGTAAAGATCCATGGAGAGAAAAGGTGCCAGAGCAGTCTGTATTAGAGAAAGGAGGAAATCCAAGAGATCTAATGTGTACTTGCAAATTTTCCCATGGGAAGAATACTGCTTGAAACACAGTCATATAACAAGAAGATACTCTAATTGGAATTTCACCCTCAAAATTTATGTTTGCTTCATCACTGGTGGGCTACTTCCCATTTTCAAAGTAATGACTCACTTTTTCCAGGGACTCTGCATCACAATTGGTTGGGAATTGTTCACAGTGCAGTCTGTAAAACTGTTTTTCAGAACTATTCACTGTGCCACCTCAGTGATCATTTACAACAGCCCAAGAAGTTAGCCAACTTCATCCATGACTTTCTGAGAAAAGTGTGCATACATGCATGACCTTCTTTTTACAGTCACTTTATACATCTAACATGAATTTCTGTGTCAGAAAGATGGGTCTCAATGGGCCATATTGTTTAAGACTCAACAGATGAACAGGGGGCTGAATCAAGGATCTTGAGATTCTGCTAGAATGACTTCCAATTTACAGCCTAACACTGGAGATGCCCATCAAATACGGTCATATAAGTTCAAAGTCTGTCACAGGCTTTCTATGGCATTCCAATTCAGACAATTTCTAAATGTTTATTTTGAAATAGGCTATTTGTCTATAAAATGCCTTGGAACTGTTTGTGTCAAGCCTTAGGTCAAAATAATGCAATGCTCTTAGAGGTTATTGTTTGGTATGAGGAACTTGCAGATCTGATTGGTTCAGAGATCAGATTTACTCACAGCTATCCTGACTGCTGATGGGATTGGGGGATACAGAGAGTGAAGCACAGAGTGAAAGGGAATTCTAGATCAAACACACCAAGCTATTTTGGGTCAGCTCCAGATTTACAGTGGGGGCCAATTCAATACCTACTCCAGGAATAGTCCAACTTTTTCCTCTATCAGCAAGATTCCATGTAATGTTTGTTTCCCACTTATCTGGATACTGCCAAGGTAAATGGTAAGGGTTTTTAGACTGATATGTCTGGGGGAGATCGAGAGTAGTACTAACAACAGTAAAGGAGTTTTGTTAAAGGAATATCCTGCGCTCTAGTTAGCATAATTAATTGAGACTAAATAATATCTTTTTTTTCTTTCTAACTCCTCTTTCTTCTCATTTCTTTAGTAATAAATTAAAACTGATGAAGAAAGTAGCGTCAGGAAGACAGAGACAGAGAAACAGAGAGAGACAGAGACCTAGGAAGAAAAATCCTTTAGAGCTTTTAAGAAAGCTGAAAAAAGAGTGACACTGATCAAGATGCATTGTTCTCACTGACATGTTGAATTGAAACCCCTTTGTACAACTACTTAAAGACAGCATAAGGCAAGCAAGCAAGGAAGGAAATAGGGAGGAAGGAAGGAGGGAAGGAAGGAAGAGAAAAGATGGAGGGAAGGAAGGAAGGAAGGAAGGAAGGAAGGAAGGAAGGAAGGAAGGAAGGAAGGAAGGAAGGAAGGAAGGAGAGAAAGAAAGATTTGTCTGAGGGAGAAGAAATGACAAGGAGACAAAACCACAGATCAAAATTCACAAGAGCTTCCCCAACTTTATATTTGATCACATCAGTACACACATATATGTGATGATATTTATCCAGGAGAATTAGTTCAAAATGAACATTACAAGAAAATTTTCCAAGGTGGAAAAAATTTCATGATAACAGTTTCTAAGTAAGGAGAAAGGATATCTCAATCGGGAGTTTGATATTTCAATCTGGGTTGAGAGGCTGTGACATGTCTAACTACACATAGGAGATGTTTTGTTTGCTGCTGTTTTTTTTGCTTTTTGCCAGATCTGGCACTTGAACTCAGGGCCTTGACACTGTACTTGAGCTTCTTTGTGCTCAAAGCCAGCACTCTACCATGTCACCATTTCTGGCTTTTTCTAGGTAGTTTGTTGGAGATAAAAGTCTCATGGACTTTTCTGCAGGCTGGCTTCAAACCATAATCCTCAGATCTCAGCTAGGATTACAGGCATGAACCACTGAAGCCCAGCTCTCTCGCTCTCTCTCTCTCTCTCTATATATATATATGTATGTATACATATGTACATTATTTTAAAATAATATATGTGTATATATATATTATTATTTTAATTTCTTTTTGTCAGTTATGGAGCTTGACCTCGGGCCTTAAGCACTATCCCTGAGCTTTTGTGCTCAAGACTAGCACTCCACCACAGTGCCACTTCCAGTGTTCATTCCTATCAGCTGATAAGGCCTTCTTTCTATTCCTTCCCTCACTTCCTCAGTTACTTACCACATTTATTGTCATTCCTGACATTTACTCTGTGCAAATCTGAGCTGGTTCTATGGCCTTCCCTGAGTACTGAGTCTCTGAGGAAAGCTCAAATAACCACAAAAAACAATAGGGCTGGGCACCAGTGGCTCATGCCCATAATCCTGCCTACTCATGAAGCTGACTCCTGGAAGATTGCAATTTGAAGCCAGCCAGGCACAAAAATTTGTGAAACACTGTCTCTAACCAACAAATGTCTGAGTTGGTAGTATGGCAGAAGCTATAGAGTGCCAGGTATGAGTAAGCAAGCAAGCTAACAAGAGTGTCAGGTTCTGAGTTCTAGCACTGTAACTGGCACAAAAACAAATGAAAATTAATACAGTTGCTCCAGGTCTTAGTGTTTATATTCTCTATGATGATGATGACTTGATGAATCATGTCTGGGCTGATTCTCCAGAGAGAAGAATTTATACTGCTTGTAGTCAAAGGAGAGCAGAGGACTATGATGCAAATTTCACACTTGTCGGTACCTTAAACTTCTGCTCCCCTCCCTATACCCCCACACTGGGAAAGGAACTAGCACATTACATATGCTCATGACACTCTAGCTTCCTGAAATATTATATTGCTGCTTTCCTTTTTTTAATTTAATATATATTTTATTATAAAGATATTGTACAGAGAGGTTACAGTTACATGAGTAAGGTAATAAGTACATTTCCTCTTGAGCATTGTTACCCCCTCCTTTGTTTCTCGTTACCCTCCCTTTCCTCCCCACCTCCCCACTTCTTTCTCCCCTCACCCCCCCCCCCCCCCCCCCCCCCCCCGCCAAGTTGTAAAGTTTGTTTTCAACATAGTGTCTTGTATATCTCATTGTTACAATGGGTCAACCTTATTCTTATTTCAGCATTTTGTTATTTCCTTTCCCCTCCCAAATTAAAAAAATGTGTATATACAAGAAAAACGTATATACAAATACAGTGAAAACGGGTTATATCATGGGAAAAGAACATACAAAAGAAACAAAAAAATTTACTTAGATAAAACCTCTTGTGTTCCTATCTTGGAGTCTCTTTTAATTTTATATGGTCATATGTACATAGGTTTTGATCTTTTCTGAAACAACTGCCTGATTAATAAGTGGATTAAAGACTTAAAGAGAAACTTCTCTGAAGAGGAAATAAGAATGGCCAATAGACACATAAAGAAATGCTCAGCTTTTCTAGCTATAAAAGAAATGCAAATCAAAACAACATTGAGATTCCACCTCACCCCAGTTAGAATGGCTATAATCAAGAAGGAGATGTGGCCAAAAGGAAACCCTATTTCATTGTTGGTGGGAGTGAAAACTTGTTCAACCACTCTGAAAAGCAGTATGGAGGTTCCTCAAAAGAGTACACACATAGAGCTACTACCCTATGACCCAGCAATCCCACTTTTGGGCATTTACCCCAATGATCACAAACAAGGCCATACTAAAGCTACCAGCACAACTATGTTTATGGCAGCATTATTTACCATAGCTAAGATATGGAACCAACTCAGATGCCGCTCAGTAGATGAATGGATCAGGAAAATGTGGTATATATATATATATATATATATATATATATATATATATGAATTCTATGCCTCCATCAGAAAGAATGACACCACCCATTTGTTATTTTTACTTATAAAAGCTTATAAAAGCACCCAACATTTATAGGGTACTTAGACATACCAAACACTTTGTTAAGTCCTCGAGCTGTACATTTCTTTTGGTTTTTGGAATAGGAAAATGGCAGATCCTTA